AAAAAAAAAAAAAAAAAAAAAGAGACAAAGAGAGAGAAAAAGAAAGAGATAGATAATTTCGATCGTCGTTCGTTTCTCGATTATCGATCATTTAACACATATCGAATTAATTCAAACGATTATAAACCGAAGAGAACGTTTCTTACGTGGATAACTGTATAATATTTACATATGTAAATTCACAAGTCCTATGGGTAGCATGAATGAATACTACACTTGTGTATGTCTATGTGTATTGTGTATGTATTATATGTGTGTGTGTGTATTATTTAGCATATGACAGAAAGGTAGGGTGGGAGAAAGATGAAAGATAGACAAGTCAGTTGGTTAACCACAAAATAATGAATACAAAATAAAACGAAGGTCAAAATCTAATCCTTACGCTACTACGAGCCACTATAATGGCCTTCTATAAAATACCGCGTATTTTACACATGAGGAACATATGAGGAACATATGAGGTTGCACATCAAATATCTCTACTGTGGATTTGTAATTTTAGTGTTTTGTTTCTTTCAATTTAACCCTTTGAGTGCCATGGACGCATATACGTGTTTGTTAATATTAATGTAAAATAATTTACTATTTATATTAATTAATTCACATAGAGAAAAACTTCAATTATTAAATATAATTTATTATTAATATAATATAATAATATAAAATATTATACATTATTATTTATTAATAAATATAATAAAAATATAATTTTAAATATATAATTAAAATCTGGTTAATAATCAATTATTCCATTTCTACAAAAACATTTGAGTTAAAAGTATTCACCACTCAAAGGGTTAAAAACTAAGCAAATTATTCAAAAATACAATGCAGTTTGAATGCTGCACAAATTGCCAGGCTAATCGTCACAATGAAATAAATAAATAAATAAATAAATAAATGAACTTTTGTAAACTAGACAGAAAAATAAGCTTCAGTGTTAAGAAGATCTGACATGTTTTGATGCGATGAGAATCGTTTCCAAGTCATCTCCGATAAGATGAAGATGGAAAAGTTAGAAGTGAAGTGGGTGGGAAAAAGGAGGAGGAGGAGGAGGAGGAACAGGATGAGATGTATGAAGGAAGGGTGGAAGGAAAGGTTGGGGGTGTGAGTGAGGGTGGAGAAAGACCCGTAATCCGTAATACGGCTTGGAAGAAGCCGACAATTTGCTCTAGCGATGCTTCTACTGGCTTCTTCTTCTTCATATTACTAATACTACTGCAACTGGTACTACTATTATTATTATTATTATTATTATTACTACTACTACTACTACTACTTTAACATCACCTCATCCCGTTTTCATATTCCCCTTCTTACCCTTTTTGCACCATTTCTTTCTTATTACTTTCGAATACCTCGAGGAATTCTATTCGTCCTTCTCATTTTCCCTTTCTCTCTCTTTTTTTTCTGACTTTTTTTTTTCTTTTATTTGTTTTTTTTTGTGAGGATGAGGGGGTGAGAAGAAAAAAAAGTCACTGACGTAAACAGGACATATATAACACTGCGTTCGTCCTGCTAGTATATCTTTTGAAATTGAAGGAATAAGTCGAAGAATCTTAAGGGGTGCTGAAAGTGGGGGAAAAAAGTTAGAGAGAAACTGAGAGATAGATGAGAAAAAGAGAGAGAGAGAGAGAGAGTGAGAGTGAAAGACAGGAGAGTAGGAGGTGGATGGGAGGGTCGAAAAGTCGACGGTGAAGGCAAGTTAAGAGCAGATTGCTGTCTTTCACGAAACTTAAGGATATATATTCGAAGTAAATGGCACTTGGTTGCTAAGGATTTGAAGCTTACAAAGAACGAAAGATCAAGAAGAAAAAAGGAACGGGGAGAAAAGTGAGTGAAACAGACTATGAGAGTGGAGTAAAATAAAAAAAAGAAAAAGAAAAGAGGAAAAAGAAAGGAAACACCCCCAAAATCCTTGAGTTTATTCATCGTCCTGGAAACAGTCCTCTTTTTCACAATGCTCTTTACCTTTCATTTACTTTTTCTTTTCTATTATTTTTTTTTTATTCTCTTTCTCTCTCTGTCTATCTATCTGTCTATCTGTGTGATTCCACGTTTCTAAAAATTAATCAACGCATTTTTTTCTTCTTCTTCTTCTTCTTTTTTTTTTTTTTATAGAATATTCCTTTAACACCTCTACGTATTTTTTTTTTTTTAAATAATATTTCTGATATTAATTAAAAAGATTTTTATCACAATTCATTGGACAATATTTGTTAATAATTATCACATTTTTACAATGCAATATATCAATTCCAAGAATTTTAATTCGAGAATGGACGACGAGAGAATAGTGTAAAAACAAATTAGACGAAAAATTAAACGATAATCTTGCGAATGATTAAACAAAAATTATAAATATTGAAATTAAGAAAATATTACAACTATTTATTTAATCATCTGTCAGTCACGCCGATCGAAAGAAAAAAAATTCTAAAAAGAACAAAACAACCATTTACACCTTAAAATATCCATCACTTTTCCCACCTTCTACCACCCTTCCTTTCTTATTTTAATTTAATTTTCGATTGAAACGATCCCCCCCCCTTTCATTCTTTCCACGTCCTGATTGATACTACTTATGCTAATTTTGTTTTCTTTCGAAGAGTCTGATAAACTCAAAAAAAAAAAAAAAAAAACAAGAATAAAAAGAAAATAGATAAAACAAGAAACGATTTCTTAGAATTGAAAAAAAAAAACAAAAACTAAAAAACTAAAAAACTCACAGCTTTTATTATTCTTCCGTTTAGAATAGGGGAAAAAAAAATCATCGTCGATAGATAAAAAAAGAGATGGTTTATCTCTCTCTCTCTCTCTCTCTCTCTGATAATAATTTATCAAATATAAATATAAATATATAAATATAAATAAATAACGCGAGAATATAATAATAAAAAAAATAATAAATAAATTTAACAGAGCTATATACCTAATTAAAAAAGTAGATAAGATAAGAATATAAATATACATGTAAATGTACATAAATATTACATATATATATATATATATATACAGGATATTTTTCAAAATACATTAACCTAACTTCAATGGTGCTTTTATATGTTGTTTTTTTTCTTCTGTCAAATTATTGAAAATTTCTGATGTTACGTGAGTTTCATAAAAATTATTCAAAGTTATGATAGCAATTTCCAAATGGTTATAATCATAAATCTTTTAATTCGTTCACAAATACCAACAAGGTATAAATAAAAATCCCATCACAATAAAAATGGGATAAAAAATTGACTTGTTGTAAATGCTCGAGAGTAAACAAATCAATAAAGTTACATGAATTAAACATGAAAGAGATTAAAAAAAAAACATTATTATTCTAAAACAAGATTCATTTTGATTATAACATTGTATCTAATTTTTATTTTATTTTTGTTTATTATATTTTTAGAATATTAAAAAAAAAAAACCACCTTACCATTTTGAAGTAATGTTAATGTTTTTTTAAATACCCTGTATACTTATATTTATACACACACATATATATATATATATACATATATATATATATAAATACGTAAGTATGGTATGTGAGTGAAAATGAATTATCTATCATTGTAATTTATCAAATAACGTCAGACAAATGAGACGACATTAGGTGTAGGATTTAGACGCTAAAAAAAAGACATCGGTGTAGTAATTTTTACGCTTTATGACGATTTAGGTCAAAACAGCGATTTTAGATAGAAATAATAAAAAAGAAGAAAAAGAAGAAGAAGAAGAATAATGATAGGAGAAAGAAAAACAAACAAACAAAAAAGAAAATTCACTACGTCGAGAGGAACGTGTTCCGTGCCTAGAGCGGACACGTTGTAAAAATTAATTTAAAAAGAATTTAAAAAAAACAAGGGGTAATAATATAGTTAGAAAAAATTATATATATATATAAAAAAA